GGACCCCACCTTGATGTTTCAGGACCCCAAAGTGGGTTCTGACCTCAACTTTGGGAACCACTAATGTAAAGCACTTGGAAGAAGCAAAACAGAAAAAAATATCTTCTTAAGTGCAGAATTAGTGAATATCCACTGTGTGTAATGCAGGGATGTGAAGATGAACAGATTTATTGCAATTTGATCCATGAAGCAACTTAATCAGTGCAGTTTTGGGATTAAATCAAGATGGAATCTGTTTTTATCCACATCTTTACACCAGTAAAATATGATTTTTCAATCTGTTTAGAAGGAAATCAACACAGCTGCTAAAATGCAGTAGTTTTGTTTATGAGAATATTTCCTGTATCMCCCGTTTTAGTTGTATTCCTGTCATGGTATTGTTGGCCATCCAACAAGAAGGAGGTAACATTTTCCTCATTAGTTTGTTCAGTCCCAGTCTACCGACTCTCAGTGTACCACGATCATAGATTGTGCTGTTTTTTATTGGTTTTTAATTCTCATATCTTGATGTATCAGATTGTCAGCATCAAACCAAAGAAATCCCAAGTTTTAAAACAACATCACACAAATGGAACAAACACCCATATCAAGGATTCTCACATCGCTATGTGATAACTGCAATTTATTTTGGTAAATAAATACAAAACAGAGACCTTTAACATGAAAATAACATAATCTGGGGAGAGGGGGTGATCTCAATCTCCCAGATAAATAAAAAAAAGAAAAAAAAACTGACTGAAAATACTGTAGGTAATCTCAGAGCTATAATGAGCACCTTCTGCTGTAACAGGCATTGTTAGGACACCTTGGCAGGGGTCCTTTAAGGCCTGCAGTTACAAACAAGCACAAGTGTGTAATTATAGCAGCTACTTTTGACAGGTTAACTTAAGGGAACAGATTGCCAAATTAACAGTTGTGCTGCCATACAATGTGATCATTATAAATACACACATGCGCACACACTCATACACACACAAACATACACAACTATGAAAACCATTAGCATGTCTTCTTTATGGTTAAATACTTTCTAAGAAGATAACCTGTGTTGTGAGACAAACACACCGTTTGTTAGTTTCACACACACTTCTCCTCCGCGATAAATTCCTGCTCCAAATTCTCTTCAGATTCCTGCCAAACGGCTCACTTAGTTTGAACATTTTCATCAGAATTATAATGTTGTATATATTTTGTAAAAAAAAAAAAATCTAAGCACTGTACAAACCTTACAAAACTCAGAGGTCTCACTGATTTGTGTGATAAAGTGACGAGGATCCATGGATGTTTGACTGGACAAGTGTTTTAAAACTGCAGCAAACTGACGTCGTTAGAGCTCTTATATCATATTTGTTAAAAAAACATTAAATAGGAGAAACACTTTGTGGGGGGGCTCTGTGTTTAAACGTACGCTGAAAGAAAAACAAATGAAGAATGAATTTGGTAACATGTTTGATGAAAATAGAAATAAAATCACCTCAAAGCCAAAAGTTAAAAAAGTCACATGGTAATAAGCAGGAAGTGAAATCATTTTCCAAACTTTTCACAGCTTGAACATCAAACCAATGGACATAAAATGACACAAACATAAAAGTTTACGCTTGGAAAATCAGTTCAGTTCGTGTCAGGAGGGACTAAAGTGACACCTCCAAAACAAGTGTAGCATCAAAACCAAAGCTCTAGTGTGTATAAATCTCTCTATCACTTCACACCAATAAAAAAAACAAAAAAATAAAAATAAAATAAAAAAGGTACAACATTGCTTACTGAACATTAAACTGGTTCATCTGTGCTATAATTTACAAAAGTGTCTCCCTTTTTGACAAGATTTCTTAGTTTTACTACAGAAAACCAATCTGTAGCATCCTCCTCTGCTGGACCAGCATTATTATTACATCAAAGTCTTTTTATTTGTCTTTTAGTTGGTTCCACTTGATTGTCCTGAGTATAAGCAAAAATGATCTTGAGGAAAATCCACTCGTGACGCTCAGCTCAGCTAAGTTCGTTTTTATTCCTTTATTTTTTTTTATATATAGATTTGATTGGAAATATCAAGTCATAAGCAGCCAACAGTCATTAGAGTCTCTGTTGAATCTTTGTGGAGAACCGCACAAGGAAACAGGACACAGTATTGCTTTTACAGTTCTGGCTTTGAAAAGTCTTTTCGTGGGTCGATATTTCACCCCCCCCAAGAAAACAGACAAAACAGAGGCCATCTTGAAGGAGAAACAGACGGGTGCGGAGGACAGGTCTCAGCCCCSCGACGGTCCGGGTGACGAGAATGAGCCGAGCTTTTTGTCCCGAGCGCCGGGGCGAACCTTCACACCTGGGTGGATTTGACTCGTCGCAGGGGCCGTCGTCCTCCGGGGTGGGCGGGGCAGGGCGGGGGGATTTCGATGGGCAGGTCTAGACTGAGC